TTAATGAAAATATAAAGGATTGTTGGATGACTTGATATGATTTGCAAATTTGTAGATGTATAAGTGGTATAATTAGTAACTGGATTCTGTATTATTGGATTTGAGATGATGGTACTTGCAAGTTGCAATAAAAAGATTCTCATATAATTATATTGTAGTATATTAACTTTATTGAAGTATTGAAGCATATTGATCATAATGGATGAGGTAAGTTTGGAACAATATTTGAGTTTTCATGAAAAATAAATAGAAAATGATTGTTCATATAGGAATTTTATTATTCTATCAAATTTCCAATTTATCTCATTAGACTTTTTTTAGTTTATTAGATTTAGATGTTTGATATTGTTGTTTTTTATATATAATGATGAATTATGCCATATAATGATTAGGATAAATTCAAATATAAACATTTCTTGACAGCAGGATTGAAATTATTCTGCTTGTTCATTGTTCCTGAGGCTGAAATCTCATGGATCCAATGTGACAAATGTTTAATACATTTGGTATCTTGCTGCCCGACTGTGCACTTTTGTTAACAATTAGAAGGTAATTTATCTAGCGAAAATCTTGCAGTTCCAGAAATGGTGGGAAAGCTCTAGTTGCAGGCTGCATGCTGCAGCCCCAAAGCCTGGAGGTAGATGTTTTCCATACTTGCTAGATTAGATGGAACTGGATTTTAAGTTATTTGTTGGTTGAAAAATCAAAAGCTTTAATGAAAATATAAAGGATTGTTGGATGACTTGATATGATTTGCAAATTTGTAGATGTATAAGTGGTATAATTAGTAACTGGATTCTGTATTATTGGATTTGAGATGATGGTACTTGCAAGTTGCAATAAAAAGATTCTCATATAATTATATTGTAGTATATTAACTTTATTGAAGTATTGAAGCATATTGATCATAATGGATGAGGTAAGTTTGGAACAATATGGTATGGTAACATTAAACATTCAAACTTGAGCCTGCATGATAGTCTTAGTATAGATCATGCCTAGCAGGCTAGAAGGCAAGCATTGAGGTGAGTGAGCCCTGCACAATGGCAATGCTACCTAAGTTTCTATCTTGACTAATAGAAACTGCATATATAAAGTTTTGAAACTGTGTGCATGGTGGAATTCTAAGAATTGGTTGGTCATTTAGGTCCACTAGGATTACCGTCTTGCTCCTATCGCGCTTGTGCACGCTCCTGGCTGAACAATGGGGAGTGTGCTGCTGCTGCTTGTCCAGGGTACAAAGTATTGCCAGCCATTTACAAGATGCGTCGCTAGATAATTTTTAATAATAAAATGCTGCTAACAACTTTGATAGCATATCCCTTACCATAAAAGGGGGTTACTTAGACACCCAGGGTAACTTAGACCACTTTTAGTTTTTTTAACAAAAACCCCCAAAACTCAAAATTATATGACATAGAAAAGTTTTGTCAATGGGCATTAAAGGTGTAGTACTGAGGCAATGTAACACAATAGAAAGATAGAAAAAGTATGCATATCTAATAAGTTGAAAAATGAAAAATGTGACCCACGAAAAAGAGCTATTATTTAAAGCCTGTCGTAGAACACTCTCCAATTTTTTATTTTTTTGGTAAAACAACTAGGTTTTGGTGCATTGTAGTAGAACTCTTCTAGTTACATATGCAAATGACAAATTTGAGGAAAGTGTCATAATTTGCAAATGGGGGCACCACCTAATGTCAGCCTAACTTAGACCACCTAATGTCAGCCCTGACGGGTAACATAGACCGGCTTGGAAATTAATTCAAAATTACCATTTACCGTATAACATATTTTATATTTGATACACCTATTAATGTTTTTCTTTATGTTTCAGACTCTACAGAGTCTTATATATGGTAATTTAAACTTAATTTCCAAGCCTGTCAATATTACCCAATCACAGCTGACATTAGGTGGTCTAAGTTCCCCAATTCAGGGGTGGCACCCCTATTTGCAAACTATGACACTTTCCTCAAATTTGTCATTTGCATATGTAACTAGGAGAGTTTTACTACACTGCACCAAAACCTGGAGTTATTTTACCAGAAAATATAATTGATTTTACCACCCAGTCTAAGATACCCCAAGAGCTGGGGTAACAAAGACCATCACTTTCTTTTGAAATTACATCAAAACTATGAGAGGCAGGAGCCAGCAATTTATGGTGAGTAAACCTAGAGTATAGACCTGTATTTTGCATGTTTCAATTTAAGTTTAATTTAGCTAGTAAAAAATGGCATCTTTTAAAAAAAAGTAGTCTAAGTTACCCCCTTTTACGGTACTCTCCACGCACTGCAACACTTATAACTTAACAGGTATAACTTGGCAGCCATCTGGCAGACACATGGCACCATCTATTGAGAGAGCAGCAAAGTAAAGAGAGGCTTGACAGGATTCTGCTGCCCAGACTGCCAAGAGATGGCGCTGTGCTCATATCAACTTAGATATCATGAACCATACATCCTACGGTTCTAGCAACTGTTGCTTAGTACTAGAATTATTATTGTTCTTGTTATTCACTGCATTAGATGCTTGCGGTCTTTCCGATTTTCAACTATTTACTAAATAGTTGGCAAAAGACTGGTGAATATCTAAAATACTATAATTTTAATCCAAATGTGTCAGCAAGATCTTCTGAAGGCATAAATTTTGCTGCTGATGTGTTGTTACCAGGGGTAATCTTAGGGCAGACCAAGCTCATGTGTTTCAGCTCACAATTATATAATTTTCTATTCCATTCATTTATTGTTTTAACTTATTACAAACATGGTTATTATTTGCTTATCATGCAAACTAATAGTATTTCATGCATTTGTGTCTAATGCTGCCCTATGTTTTTCTGTCTCGTTTCAGGTATTGAATGACCCCGTAAACTCTATTTAATGCATGCACATAAACTTGTCTCGAGTTAGCAGAATATTCTGAAACTCTCACCGCATCACCAGATGGTGAGTTGGCTTATTCTTTGCGCCTGATTCAATTATGTACATATTTTAGGCTAATTATTATATGCATTTTGGTTCTTATTCATTCTATTGTCATTTATTGTTATAATGGTTCTTTTCATATCTGTCAGTTTGATTAATTTTTAGTGTGATGCTTGTGTTGCAATAATTACTTTAATGATTTTCTTATATTATTTTTTGCACTCAGAAGATCTGCACTTGCATCTGCCCTTGACTGTTTAAGCTCTATAATATATTCCTTAATTCACTATCCTATTTTGTTGCTCATGTTTAAAGTCAAATTAACTTTACTAAATTCCCTCACATAGCAAATAAATTAGTATTTCTCTTGTTGCATTTATATTTATGTTCATTTGTTTGTGTCAGTTGCTGTGTGTATCGCTCCACCCATAGTTTCATATTCCATAGTTTCATATACCATAGTTTCATAACCCATAGTTTCATAATTCCATAGTCCTAAATTTGCTTGTTTATTGATTCAATTCTAATCATGAGTTTGGCAAATTATTTCTTATTGTATAAAATTTTAACATATTGGCTTTCCTTTTAATAAACGAAAATAAATACTCAGATAAAAGCAAATCCCTTAGTAATTCATTAATTGCTAAGGGATTTTTACTGGTAGTAAATGTATGATTTCTTAACTTGTCCTATGCTACATAGATAATAAAAATTTGTTTTTAATGTGGAATCATGAGTTCTGGTATAGAAGAAAATGATGATTGAACAAGTTCTAATTTTTTCTAATTTGATCTATAAATTTATAGTTCTAAATTTGATTTTGCTAGTAAACTTAAATAAATAGTGAATTGCTCAATCTTACTACTTCTATGATCTTACAGCAGATCTTTGGGCATTGTTGAAAGCAATGGAGACAAAATGATGCCTGCTTAATTAAACATTATTAATAATGTTTCTGTGGTGCTAAGAAAATACTAATTGCACATAGTCTTTTCCAGCATTCAATAAACATATTTTCTATTATCAATGTTCCTATTTATTTTTTCAATGAAACTTGTAATCTGAGTTATTAACTACAGACATACATTTACTTAGATATGGTGTCATAGTCTTGTATACAAGAATTTGAAAAATGAGTCTTAGATTAATCATGCTATGCAAGATGAGTCATGAGATGCCTTATCAAATTCCTGCTGAACTGTTTTAAAGAAGATTCAGCTGCCAAATTTCACATTTTATTTGATCACATTGCTACAAGGCAGGTGTAAAAATGTACTCTTGCTGCCATGGTTCTGTGGAACATTGATTTATGTTGTGAAATGTGTTTTTCATTTGAAAATCATTTCACTAGAGTAAGATTCACTTGTTGGCATTCCTATTAAACCAAGATATTTAAATTAGCATCTGCATTATTCCAGTTAAAAGTTAAGGGTTATCACACCTGCTCAAATCAATTATCCTGCTTAAGTCAATGTTTAGGGCAATGGGCTAAAAATTTCTAAGCCTTTGAAACTTTTCACTTTGAAAAATTAATGATGTTCTATCATTATTTCTTCCCTATTATGCTTGTGAGCAGAACAACATTCTTCAAGTTTTCTTTACCTGAGAAGAGGGAGGAATCCCAGACAAGAATGTTGAGGAAAGAAAATTAGTCTCTCAATGGTAGCTTAAATATTCTGACACTGAATGTTTGGCAAGATAATGCAAATACTTTTCATTGGACTTAAGTCTAAAAGTATTTCTAACACTAATCTGAATTAAATTTTTATTTGTTTCTCCATTTATGTTACATGATTCTTAGTATTCAATATTCAATTATTTTTGTATTCCTCACTATGTTTTTAGAAAATCTTGTGTCCCTGATTGATCATATAGAATCTTAGCATGATAATGGCTAGCATCTATTTCTAAACAATCATGATAAGTGTGATTAATTCTTTAACAAAATTTCAAGGTCATTTAAATAAATGCCTCCAAATTTCCCTCATAGCCATACCTGTCCACCAGCTGTTTATTTTCCTCTGTGTCTTTTTCATTTATTTAAATTTAACATGATATATTGATGTTCAACAGAATGAACTAATATTGCAGCATGAAGTGGTTCATGAGCTACTGTTAATATCAATTTTGACAGACCTGTAGTACATTTGCACTTTCTAAACCTTCCCGAATAAGAGATAAAGACAAATATTCAATCAATTATCAACTGGAATCCCATGGCGTCCAACACCAAAGAATGCCCTGTCCATTCCTATGTCAGGAGTGATGAGAGTTTGGAGCACAACCTGCCCCTGATGCCTGCTTGTGCAATCAAAGTTGAGTCCAAAGGTAAGCTTTTTCTTTGTGTTACACGTCAATGTCTATAACATCCGAATCATTTGGCTTAGATTTTTGGTACGTTTTCAATATTTGCCAATTATTTCATTCAGCCCTGTATGCATGACTACCACCAGTATGAAATATGAAATAGCCGCACTTAACGTGTTTAAATCTATAAAACCTAAGTATTATTGAGCTCTTTTTACAACAATACCCAGGCTTGTTTGTTGATTGAGAATTCATAAATGCTGATGTATGATGTTTTGTACTTTGCTGAAATGGCAATGGTAAAACAAAATACTTGATTTCCAGCCTTGGACATGGATACTCCCAATCCAGTCATCCAAGTCCCTGAAATCTACATCAAGCAGGAGCCTGAAAATGAGAACTCGGATGTAACTGTGAAGGAGGAACCATTTCCATATGGTTCTCAGGTACTTTCATTAAAAATTAAAATTTTTTAATAGTGTATGTATAAATTTTTGCAATGAATTTCTGGAAAGCTGGGAAATAGAGGGAGCTGACATTTGTTTTGATAGGGTATGCACCTGTCTCTTATACACATCTAGATGTGTATAAGAGACAGGATATAAGCCATGTCTTACCTTGATATAAGCTATGTCTTACCTTGATATAAGCTATGTCTTACCTTGATATAAGCTATGTCTTACCTTGATATAAGCTATGTCTTACCTTGATATAAGCTATGTCTTACCTTGATATAAGCTATGTCTTACCTTGATATAAGCTATGTCTTACCTTGATATATGCTATGTCATACTGTGATATAAGCTATGTTATACTGTGATATAAGCTATGTTGTACCTTGATATAAGCTATGTCTTACCTTGATATAAGCTATGTCTTACCTTGATATAGGCTATGTCATACTGTGATATAAGCTACGTTATACTCTGATACAAGGTATGTAATTTTATCATCAGAAGGATGCTGATGTGTCAGCCCTGGCATCAGCTGCTGGCGACGCTGGGTGCAAACGGCGGGCCTGCAGAGACTCAATCCGTGAACCACCTGAGCCTCAGGAGAGGCAAGTATACAGAGCAAGAACATATATGATGGAGAGCTCCTCGTCTGACGAGGATTATTTGCTGCTAGACAGCATCCTTCCAAAAGTTAAAAGGAAACGAATGCCAGTGCATGACATTAATAGGAGGAGGAAAGACTTGGGAGAGTACCATCATCTTTTCAGAGATCTCAAAAATGACAAATCACGTTTTTTTGCATACGCAAGGATGACACAAGAGACCTTCAACTACATTCTGAAGAGAGTTGAACATCGACTTGTGAAACAGTGGTGCAACTTGCATCAACAACCTATTCAACCTGAAGAACGGCTTATTATAACTCTTAGGTGAGAAAGTATGAAATAACATAAACTTAATATTAATATTAATGTGCTGAGGTTATTAATAAACAGCAAGTAGCTGTTATAGTTTTTTACTTGGAAATTTTACTGCTTAAGGTGTAGAGTATAGGACCAATTTAATAAAATGAAACAATGTGTTTTTAGTAACTCATAATTCAATGTGCATAACTTTGCACTTTAATAATATTAATGAAATATTTTTCAAAATAACATCGTCAATCCTTCAAATATTAAAATATAAGATTGTTTTTTAGCAACATTGTTTCATACCTGATGATAAGCATACTACAATGGTTGCAAATCCAAATCCCTCTAACAACATTTGACCGTCTGTGCAAGCAGAGATAGGGGATATTTGTGGAGCAGGTGTACTACATGTGGAGTAATATCCAAAATTATTTTGAGGGTAATTCATGGAATGTTGTGAATATGCAAATCGTTGAACAACGTCTTGTACACAATTTCGGAATGAAAGCTTCTGAGCTGTAGGAATTGTTTTATTATGTGGCAATAAACTTTTCCAGAACAATAGGTCATCATCCTCTCCCTCTTGCATGCGCTCCATCTTTTTCTTCAAATTTTGCACTTTCTGCTGTTCAATATTCAACAGGCTTTCATTAAATTGTTCTGCTGGAGATACCTTCTTTCATTTTTTTCCTTTTTTTTTGCTGACCAGACAGAGTGCTCATTAAAGTTGGTCCTTGCAAAATTTCACCCATGACAGCTTTTGCATTACTATTAGATGAAGAGGCTAAGCAATCTCCTTCATCTGTGGGCAAGTTTTCAGCTCCCTCCATGTCACCAGTTTCACATTCTACTTCACCCATTGTCGGTGGCGAGGTTTCACTTGCATGATCGTTAACCAAGTGTGACAAATTTCCACTAGATGATCTTGGTCTAACAACATTTTTCAAGAATTGTAGCTGTGTAAAATGCTTTCATTTTGATGAGACTTTATTATCTGCTGCATCTCTTGATCAGGGTGGTTTCATTTTGCCAAACTCAATGGAAAATTGGTCTCTCAGATACTGCTATTTCTTTCTTATCTGCGTTCCTGTAAAGACAAACAATGAGGGATTGTTAGCAAAAGTCATATAATATTTCATGCTTTTAATACACACATAGCTATACAGTACAATGAAAAATGATAACACCAATACTAACAAAACTTTTTATCTTCTTTGCAGATATCTGGCCACTGGGGCATCATTTCATACCCTTTCATTTTCATTTCGAGTGGGGGTGTCTACAGTTAGTAAGATTGTTTCAGAAACTGTTGGGGCATTGTGGGAAGAACTGCATGAGCAACACATGCCAGTACCCACAAAGGAATGTTTCAGAAAAATTGCTGAAGATTTCTACAAAATTTGGAACTTTCCTAATTGCATTGGCTCAATAGATGATAAACACATACGTGTTAAATGTCCAAGCAATTCAGGATCTATGTATTACAACTACAAACAGTTTTACTCCATTGTCCTTCAAGCAGTGGCTGATGCTAACTACAAATTCGTTTTCATAGACATAGGAGGTTTTGGCAAACAAAGTGATGGCGGAACATTCCAAGCCTCGGAGCTTTCCGAGGCTTTGAAATATAGAAATTTGGATATTCCTGAGCCGGCCTTCCTACCAAATACAGCAGTCAAAGTACCATACGTACTTGTGGGGGACGAAGCATACCCACTAATGCCATTTTTGCTAAAACCATATGGAGGGCATAACCTAACTATTGAAGATATAACCTTCAACCAATGTTTGTCAAGATGTCGGAAAACCATTGAATGTGCATTTGGAATAATATTCAGTAAATGGCGTTTATTAGCGACATGTATTGATACCAAAGTTGAAGTTATTGATAGCATTGTAAAATGCATATGTGTACTGCATAACACAATCATAGACAAGGAAGGAATTGAACATCATCTAACTGAGACTGTTAACTCAGGGATTGAAGAACAGAATCCTGTACATCAGGTTGGAAGGCTGGCAAACGATGCTGTGGATGTGAGGGAAATATTTAAAAATTTTCTGTTAAACAATCCTTTACTACATATGCCCCAGACATGATATTTGCAATGTTACTTGAGAATGCTATATAGCTACTTTTACTAGCTACGAGACAATTACTTATATTTCCATTACTATTTGTGTACATAGTCATTGTACATACAATAACACTATTATACCTTCATATTTCCTGTTTCATCCATTGTTTTACTTATCACTTATCGAATATAATACATCAGCTTTTAAGTACTGTAGATTACATGCCTGAAACAATAAGGTCTTTTTTTTGATATGCAGTTAAAGTAAAATTAAACCAATGTCCCCTTACCTTCACGGTTCATCTTCTTGACAATGTCAGCCCAAAGTTTCTCAACTACAATTTGGGTAGAGTGCTCTTTACTCCATTTGTCCCAAATGGGTGTTCGAGCATACACCTCTGTGATTAATTGATCACTGTCAATGCTCATCATGTGTTATTACCTCTCAAAAATCCCTTCAATCAAGTGCAGAGCAGACTCCTCGTCACCTTTATAAAGTTGTTTGTTTACATGAGAACCTTGACACAACGGCGCTAGAGTGCCAAAGAAACAAAGAAAATGGAGGGTTTAAAGGTACAGCTAATTCAAAAATGTCCATATGCCAAGCAAGTTGAGCAGATAAGAATGTGCAGTACATTCCGGTAAATCGGTATAAGCAGGTTTTTGGCTGAAGCCTATTCGTACAGGTTTTCACTGTGAACACTTGCATTATTATCCTATGTTCATTCGTGTGGCAGGTTGGAGCAGGTTGCCCGCACGGGCAAACCTGCCTTCACTGTATGCGCACCCTAACACTCCTCACTCGAACACCTCACCCAGAGCACTGATTAGGTCACAGCTGGTTTCCTGCTTCCTCTGTGAACCTCTCGTGCTTGTTTCAGGCGCCAGCCTCAGCAGGTAACCAGCATGCTGGCAACCTGCTTTCACTGTGTGTGTACTATAAGATTGGAAAAGCCAGAAATTGTTAATGCCTGTTGAAAAATTACAGATTAAACATTAAAAACAGGACATCTTTAAGAAAATGTGATTTTGATAAATATGATACAGTATTTTGTCATTTAATAAGAAATAAGGATGCTATAAAATCACATCAAAAACTCTCTTAAGAGATTCAATTAAGTTTGGCTATTTTTGCAACTTATTTTCCAAAATCAATTTAAAAAAACTCAAGTAAACTTCAACAATTTTCTTCTGAAACCATTCTTTCTGAGCATATGGGTATGAACAAAAGTTTTGCTCAAATTTTTCAATGGCTTGGCAAACTTGGATATCAATATCCAAAATTAGGAAATATATGACTGTATCTTTATCAAGTGTTCAAGAAAAAAAAAGCAATAAACAATCTGTTCAAAAATTTCCCCCATTTAGCTAATTGGTGGATAGTGTGAAGCTTGCTTTCTGTGGAATGTTATTAGTTGAGTGTAAATAAAGCATCACAATGAACTATGAAATGTAAAACAAATTTATCAGTCAGGTAGGAATAGCACTGCAAGTAGTAGATGAAATTTGTTTATATAAGGATTCTTAGTGTTGATAATATGGACTCTATTATATAGTGGAATGACACATTCTAAAATGGGGCTCACACATCCTGGGTGAAACATCAACCAGGTTGTGTGGTCAAGGTAAGAGTGATGCATTTGTGCTGAGTGGGAAATGTGGTAAAATTTTGAAATGTTTTCTAATGCTTTTGATATGAACTACTTAAGTGAGACTGGAATAAATTCCTATTTTCATATAAAAATTTGATATTCATTCAATTCTGCACATCAAGGTATTGCTTGTGGTAATTTGAACCAAATATTTGCCTCATAACTGTGGGATAAGATGCACCAGACTTATTAACGTGACATGAGCAGACATTTGATCTTATCTTGAGTTGGCTTGGTGGTAGATCTACTATTAGTAGATACTAATAGTAGATCTACTCAGATACTTGGTGGTAGATCTACTATTGATATTGTGATTATTGAGTGGGGAAATGATGTAATTATTTACTTGATTTTTCTATAATCCAAGAATGTTTTATCAATGTTATTTCTCCAGAACTCATCACTTGTTCTTGGTGATATTCGTTTTGCATGGAAGGTATGGTAGGGTAGGTTGTTGTTTAAGAGGTAGGCTATGCTATGTTAGTAATTTTTATTAATGATTATAGATGTCAGACACCAACCAACTCCCTCCTCTCTGTAGCGCTTAGAATGAATGGGCATCTATAGCGTTGCCTGATATGGATATATGGATATGGATGGCATCTATAGCGTTGCCTGATATGGATATATGGATATGGATGGCATCTATAGTGCTACATTTAGAGCATGTAGCGGTAGCGGCCACTACATTTCAAAGCAGCGCTGCCCAGCTCTGAATATAAGGATTCTTAGCGTTGATAATAAGATAGTCTAAATTATGATAATAAGGACTCTATTTTATAGTGAAATGACACATTCTAAAATGGGGCTCACACATCCTGGGTGAAACATTAACCAGGTTGTGTGGTCAAGGAAAGTGATGCATTTGTGCTGAGTGGGAAATGTGGTAAAATTTTGAAATGTTTTCTAATGCTTTTGATATGAACTACTTAAGTGAGACTGGAATAAATTCCTATTTTCATATAAAAATTTGATATTCATTCAATTCTGCACGTCAAGCTATTGCTTGAGGTAATTTGAACCAAATATTTGCATCATTACTGTGGGATAAGATGCACCAGACTTATTAACGTGACATGAGCAGACATTCGATCTTATTTTGAGTAGGCTTACTCAAAGAAACTTGGTGGCAGATACTGTGATTATTGAGTGGGGAAATTATGTAATTATTTACTTGATTTTTTTATATTAAGCTTGCATCCAGTAAATACAATGATGATCATTCAAATTTATTATTGCAACTGCGGCTTAGATTTGTTCATAATCCAAGAATGTTTCATCAATTTTATTTCTCCTGAACTCATCACTTGTTCTTGGTAATATTTCTTTTGCATGGAAGGTATGGTAGGGGTAGGTTGTTGTTTAAGAGGTAGGCTACGTTAGGTTAGTAATTTTTATTGATGTTTATAGATGTCAGACACCAACCAACTCCCTCCCCTCTGTATTGCTTAGAATGGAAGGGCTGCTATAGCGTCAGGCTAGGGTGGATGTTGCCTGATATGGAGTTTTAATTTGAGGTTATAATATGTTGATGTTGTTATTAAATCTGAGCGATTATCACATCAATGGGAGGGGATGTATATTTTGCTGAATGTAAAGTAATATTAGGTTGATAATCTAAACATTGTAAGTTTATGATTTAATCATCTAATGGTAGAAATATACTCTATATCAAATTTTATGCTTTTTATTTTCAATCCCTTTTCTAACAATAATCCATATGCATTCAGAATTAAGTTCTGTAATTCAAATAATTTGTGGATGTTCACTTTACATGTAGCAAACATCATTGTGATGAACTATGCAATGATGTTGAATTAAATTTGCATCTTAAAATGTATTGATGACAAAAGTTTGTTGGTTCCTGTGTTGTGGAACATTCATGTGCCTGACTTCCAATTGTTCAAATTCAAATTATAGTTGGTTCAACCTGCTCTTCCTAGTGTAGAACTTGGTCAGTTATGGCATTAGTATTCATATAAGATGCACCATTGCAGTGTAATTCTTAGACTGCAGCAACCGTCCGGCCATCAGACATCTGCTACTCTGTTGAGCTGCAGTTGAACGGAGGCTTGTACCCAGCCAAATATTTCAGTGTTCCGAATTGAGGATTCAAAATTAAGAATGGCCAAGACCCCACATATCTGATGCTTGGGAGTATTTTGATCCTCTTGAATATCTTGATACTATAGCTGCAAATTGAAACTTCCATCGTCTGTGTGTAGATAAGGAAAATAAAAGTGTTATATTGAATAAATGAAGGTTCCGCTTTTCCCTGTTTCAATCATATTTTTATCCTACCCCTCCTGCCAAAATATAGATCAGGTTCTGCATTGTAGGGAGGACAGTTATTACCCTAACCTGGTAATAATAATACCATAACTTAGTAATGTTGGTGCCCTGTCCAGGTAATGTTATTAACTTAACCTGGTAATATTAATACCCTAACTTGGTAACATTTGATACTCTGTTGAGCTGCAGTTCATCTTCTTCTTGTTACTTCTTATACAAGCACTGGGAACTGGCCCATTTAGCTCCTTCACTACAGGATTTAATTGATGCCCTAGGGTTGTTGTTGACAACCTCAAACAAAGGGCACGGCACATGTGCCCGTCCTACCGCAGCTGCGGGAGGACAGACACACAGGCAGCTGTGGGGTACAACACAAGAGACTATTCTCCAAATGATTTACCAATGTCTGAACAAAATAATTCATTAATTAATCTAACAGAAAGTAAACTTCAATAACACATTAGCAGCGAAGATTGTGGACTGCAATTGGTAATTTTCAGTGAATTAAAGAAAATTAGTCATATTGCATCATTCGACATGAATATATCAGCTCATGTTATAAAATAACGATGTGCATTTATGTGCAACCAGTAATATTGAGACATCTCATTCAAGTTATTTGGCATTATACTAAGATGAAATGGAAAACTTTTAATGGGTGAGAGCATGGGAAAATTGCATTCGAATTTTTACCATTAATTTCATTGGCACCCTAGCCCCAGGTGTGTGGATAGCACCCGCAGATAAGTGGTTAGTGCCCTCATCTGAGTGGATAGTGTCTCCCTGTTTCCAGTCCTGGAGTAGGAATCTCTGTCGTGGCGTGGGACTCATTGCCCTGGCGTGGGACTCACTGCCCTGGCGTGGGACTCTCTGCCCAGGTATGGGACTCACTGTCTGGAGTAGGACTCACTGCCCTAGCGTGGGACTCACTGCCCTAGCGTGGGATTCACTGCCCTAGCGTGGGACTCACTGCCCTAGCGTGGGACTCACTGCCCTAGCGTGGGACTCACTGCCCTGGTATGGGACTCACTGCCTGTAGTAGGACTCACTGCCCTAGCATGGGACTCACTGCCATGGTATGGGACTCACTGCCCTGGTATGGGACTCACTGCCCTGGTATGGGACTCACTGACCTGGTATGGGACTCACTGCCTCATTTGCATCTCCCCCCTCCTACGCGGCGACACTACCATGTAAGCCTTTGCAATCTCCCCCCCTCTTAATGGCTCCCCTCTTTGCATCATCAATATTAACACCCCACCGGCCTCCTTCCCCGGG